TGAGACGCAGTCGAGCAAGAGACCAACAAAAATCCTTGTAACACGAAAGAAGTCAAGGATTAAGGCAGCATTCGTGAACTTAAACAAAGAGAGCGTCAAGAAAAGTTGCAGTAGATTCCGAAGTCAGCTGAAGGCCGTGGTTAAGGCCAATGGTAATTTTATTGAATAAATTTGCTCTTTAGTATTTCAAGGTATTTTTGTGCAGTTTTCGTAAATATACTTTTTTACGTCATTTAGATTTATCAATTAGCCACTCAATATTCATATTTCTATGTATTTATATATTATGCATATTTCTATATAGTTATATGTAATACATAGATATGTTTCAGGGATTAATTGTGCTTTCTTGTTACAGCATCTACCAGGATGTAATGCTGAATAATTATCAGCCGGACCAGTTCACAAATATCTACTAAAATGATCAAACCGCTTATGGAAATTGTTTATTGGTCGACCCCCTTCATAGGCACGGTCATATACACCTATCACGACATATATGTATACAATATATAATATATGTATTTTATTATAGATCATTACGTCTTCACTATTTACAATCATCTTGCGGCCTCAGCCGAGATTGAACTCACGAATACTTTGATTGGTGTAGTTCATAATCTTGTCAAATAGCTGAATTCTTGATACTTCGCTAGGGCTATCAAGGGTGTTTTTTATCGTGACACCATCACTAAATAGATTGCCAACCGAGGCTCAGAGAGACTCCATTCACCCTCCTCTAAGAGCAGGTTTGAATTCAGAGTTTTCCTTCTCCTAGACCAGTTGCCATCCAAGGCTATAGAACCCAGTCTGTCTTGCTATTTACCCATAGCTGGAGGGAGAAGAAAGAGGATTCACACCTTTTCTAAGGGTGTTAGCACGTAAGTGAATGTAATGGATTCGATTGGAATTCGAACTCGGCTCTCCGATTCCTCAATCCAAGCCGCTATCCATTACTCCACCGTGCCTCTATTATATTTACAATATTCGAACTATTGTCTTCATCTTTGTTGTCATATATATCACAACGTTTCAGCCGTTGTACGCTCCGGCCTTCTTCAGGTGATTGGATTGTCAAACTGAACCCTTTATTTCGCTCGCTAGGTTAGATTGTTCTAATTCCACATGCCATGTCTAATGGATGTCAGTTACCAGTTATCTCCTGTTAATTCATCTCCCCAATTTCTCCACTGCTTTAACCTGGTACTAATCTTCATCCACTTAAGGACACAAAGCACAGTGGATAAAGGCGTTGGTTAGATCCAGTGATAGGACCCAAAAAGTTGTGAGTTCAATACCTGGTTAAGGCGGTTGAGAAATTGGAGAGGTGAATTAATATGACATAACTGATATCCATCAGACATGGCACGTGGAACTAGAACAGTCTACCCCAGCGAGTGAATTAAAGAGTTCAGTTCAAAATTCCATCCACCTGAAGAAGTCCGGAGCGTACAACGGCCGAAACGTTGTGATAAATATGACAACAAAGATGAGGACAATAGTCCAAATAATGTAAATAGTGTACATAATACCTCATCTCAGAAATATAGACAGATACTGAAAGGCCGAAACGTTGTAATAAATATGGCGACAAAGATGAGGACAATAGTCCGAATAATTTAAATAGTGTACATAATACCTCATCTCAGAAATATAGACAGATACTGAAAGGCCGAAACGTTGTAATAAATATGGCGACAAAGATGAGGACAATAGTCCGAATAATGTAAATAATGTACATAATACCTCATCTCAGAAATATAGACAGAAACCGAATGGCCGAAACGTTGTAATAAATATGGCAACAAAGATGAGGACAGTAGTGCGAATAATGTAAATAGTGTACATAATACATCATCTCAGAAATATAGACAGATACTGAAAGGCCGAAACGTTGTGATAAATATGGTGACAAAGATGAGGACAATAGTCCGAATAATGTAAATAGTGTACATAATACCTCATCTCAGAAATATAGACTGATACTGAAAGGCCGAAACGTTGTAACAAATATGGCAACAAAGATGGGAACAATAGTCCGAATAATGTAAATTGTGTACATAATAAATATAGACAGATATCGTTGCGTCTTGTACAGTTATAATAAAAGTTTCTTCATTACTGTCGTGATTATATAATCTGGTATTTTTCTACGCGTCGTTTAGATGTGACACAATGCCGAAAGCATGGAGAATCCAGTGAGGATCGAACTCATTCGTCAGTGACCTCGTAAAGCAAGCTTGCTGACCATTACACTACGTCCAAATGTCTATTGTCTATATATGATTTTGTATTAATAAATAATTGTATATAAAATGTTAGTATCTTAACTCAGATCTGATGTTGTTGTTGTTGTTGTCGTGACGTACAACGCAGGTCAAAGGGCGTGGGGAGTAATGTTAGAGAACAGAACCCGAAGGTTGATGAATAGAGATTTGAAGTTACGGCGTCGGTCGGGGACAAAGAAGCGGGAAGAGCGCCATTACAGTGACGTCATCAAGTTGTGGACTGCATCGCCTTTTAATAATGCATTAAGTGAATTGGAAAAATTCTCGACGTCATGGAAGAGATGACTCGGCAAAATCTATTATGGCGCGCAAATTTCATTAGAATGAGAACACAAAGGTAAAAAAAAAGTAAAAAAAAAATCGGCTTTTTTTTCTTTTTTTACTTTGCGTTTGACTTTCTTAAAATATTTTATTACGATCTCTTCAGCATAAAAAGAAAAAAAAAACGTCATCATTCCAATATTTTTGAAGTGAATGCAAAAACGATGCCAGTTTGTTATTTCTTAAAAGATTATATACCCAGACAAATCCACAGAGTTAGGGTTAGTTATAAAGAAACATTTATAAATTGCTAAAAATAAAATAAAGAAAGACGAAAAGAAATAAAGAGCAAATTAATTACATCACAGCCCACGCATATTTAATTAAAACTGTAAGAATTATGAACACACACACACACACACACACACACATATATATATATATATATATATATATATATATATATATATATATGTAAGCAAATATATGGATATAGATCCGACAGTATGAAGAAAATATACTGAAAAAACAAAAAAAAATCCAAATATGCGATTATGCTGTTTTAATGTTTAATGTCAACATCGGACGTTTCGGTCTAATAGACCATCTTCAGGACATATTCATAAAACATAATTAACATAAACCTTATACAATTCAACATGAAAAGATTTCTGTTATCTGATTGGATTGGTATTGCTTTTATGTGCATCGTCTTTTTCATATATATATATATATATATATATATATATATATATATATAAACAGATTGTCCTCGGGTTATGTCGGACCCGACTTACGCCCTTTCGGGGTTACGGTGCCATCTGCCAGAATATAACACCTCGTCACGCGATGCTATAAGAGAAAGACGGAGTTGTTTCTTCATGGACTGTATGCCATATTGGATTCTGCTACATTCGCTATCTCTTGTTTGTGTTGTTTTTTTGTTTTTTTTGAGGGGGTGGGGATTTTTGCCCTTCTTAATGGCTTCCAAGCTTAAGGCAGACTCGTTGGTGCTTATGAAAGTGGGTTCCGACCTACGTCGAAAATCAGGTTACATCGCGCCGTAGGAACGGAACTCCCGGCGTAAGTTCAGGATCCCTATATATATATATATATATATATATATATATATATATATATATATACACACCGCTCAGATTGACGGCAAGAGGGTCAGAGGAAAATAACGCCTAACCTACTCAGTGAGCTTAAGTAAATGGAAGGCGGAATTGGGTTTAGGGGAAATAACAAAACGATAAAATTTATTAACAGCTAAAAAGGCAGGAAATTGTGGAGAGCCATGATTGGATACGTACTGAAGGGGCACGGCACATAGAAGAAGAATGAGCTTGAGGAAATGGAAGGCGGAACAAGATTTATTAACAGCTACAAAGGTCAGGAAATTGTGGAGAGTCATGATCGCCAACACCCTGAAGGAACACGGAATATATATAATAATATATATATATATATATATATATATATATATATTTATATTTCACGCGTCTGTTGAGCAGCTTTTAATACTACTGTTTCCTTGTTTGATTCAAATCTGACAATTAACCTTATATATATATATATATATATATATATATATATATATATAGATAGATAGATAGATAGATAGATAGATAGATAGATCTCTTGAAAAATAAATTTGCAATTTAGCCCTGTTGAATGACAATGCTAATTCTAAAAAAAAACAAAAAAACGGTCACCTGCATAAATGCGAAGCTCTTCAATAAAATGAATAGAGCACTATGGCTGCTTGGCGTTTGTTTACGTTTATAAAAACAATACGCTAGATTTGGCTGACTTGTTCTGCCAAATGAAGATAGCTTAGTGGTAGAAGCTCTGACTGATACCAAATCGCTTGGGTTTCAATCCGGGCTTGAGGCATTCTGTTGTCTAGTCGCACTCTAAAGTCTTTATACAGGAAATCCCATCAATTATATTTCTTGACCGGCAGAGATAAAACATGGTTTTTTTTGAAAGAATTGATTTCTTTTTTCTGGGAAAAGCTAAAGGAGAAGGTATACTCAATGAAAATAACAGAGTAAAAGAATAAGTGTGCTTGTGCTAAATTTGACGGCAATGTGGAGTTATTGCATCGAGTTCCGGTGAATCTTGCATAGCGCATCAACCTTTGCATGGAAATCATATTGAAGATGTTATTTGTTAAAACTTGAAAATATTGGTGAAAATTTAATTTCTTGAAAATACGCATTTTTGCCTATGTAGGCAGACTCTAGGGAGATCGTGTACATAGTGTTTTGGTGCATTTTTATTCTAAATGTAACCCAACCAATGACTTGAGAGTCACTCAAGATAGAGGATTGCAGTCGAAACGTTAATGATGAAAATGGTGTATGATATGAAAGTAATGACAGGAAAGGAAGATTATGATTAAAAGGAGAAGAGATAAGGCTTGACATTTGATTTGTATGAGTTTGTGGCCACATGACTTTGAAATCGGTTCCCGTACGATTACCGAAGTTAAGCAACATCGAGCTTAGGTGGGACCTAGATGGGTGACCAATTGGGAATATCAGGGGCTGTAAGCTTGGGTGTGTGGGTGTTGTAATGGATAATGGCTCGAAATTATTAATCGGAGAGCGGAGTTCCAATTCCCATTGGGTTCGTTATTTCTAATATATATTAATTAATATGACATTAAATTTAATTTTATATATACATCTATCAATCTGTTCATAGCTATCTATCTATCTATCTATCTATCTATCTATCAGGCTGTTCATTTCTATCTAGGTCCTTCCACGAAAACGCGATACCTAGCGTTTAAAATTAATTTTTAATAATGAGAAATCTTTATTGAAGCTTTTATTTTAGTTTTACTTTGAAGCCGACAGATTAAATTTAATATTTCCAATAAGCAAAATACTATACTCTATGTCAAAAGTAATTTAGATTAATTGGAAGGAATTGATTTTTTTGAAATTTCTACAATGCTTACTTTTAGCGCCATTTTTAGCCAAGTGCTATGAAAATGTAAATCTCTTTATTAAAAAGTCTTAAAAAATGTCTCTTCTGAAATATTAGTTGAGGAATATTAGCTGATTTAAAGTATAATTAATCTAAATTGAAACAACTTTTATATTTTTTAAAATTTAAAATATCAGAGAAATTCATTTTTCAACTCGACGGTAGCTTGTTTATTTATGGTGACAGGTTTTAACAACTCCATGACAGTCGATGACGGATAGATTGTTATGTAGTGTTGTTCTACGAGGGCTTTAACGTTAAAAAAAATTGAGGAATATAACGCGAACACCTTTTAAGAACTCGGTAATCTAATGTTTTCTTGAACTTTAGAGATGTTTGGCTCTAAATTTACTATAGATGGCGCTCTTATTTTCCGATAGTGTCGAGTATAGGCTGCCATACCTATAAACTTCAGCACGTTTTTACAAAGATAAAAACAATTCATAATACTTTTTAAAATATCCAGGATCATCAGATTGCAATAAGCTTTACGATATTGGATTAATAAATATAGTTTTAGTTAATAACAATCTTTCCGAAGAGTTATAACATTGAAACTGAATTTTAAAAGAATTAAAAGTAATATAAATTATTATAGTTATCATTTAAAAAAAAAGAAATTTTGTAAATTCATCGAAAACAATTTCTCTTCAGACAACATTGTCCTTAATATATATTATTCATAAAAGCAATTAAAAGCTACTCTAATTTTGAAAAAAAAAAACGATGATTTAAATTCTTCAAAGAATTCTATTTTTAACTAATAGTCACTAAACATTATCACGTTTAGTTTTCAAAAAATTAAATAAGATAGTGAAATATGTAAAAAAATCTTTTTTAATAACAATGATTTTAAAAATATTTTCATTCATTTCTAAATCTGTCCTGAAAATTTCATTATAATTCGACAATTATTTGATTTTTACAAGAATTTCCAAATTAATGTTTCTGTCACCAGAAAGAAGTCAAAATGTGCTATACTAAAAATTAGTACAGACGATGACGCAAGTAAAACAAGTTTTAATCAAAGTTTCGAATATTTTGAAAGGAGTAAAAAACATTAATTAAATATTCAGAAAATTCTTTGATCCTTCCTCGTAAGAATAACATAAAGATTTTGACGATAAAACTGTTTTCATCATGGTATACTGATTTTTTACGGATTTCGGGCGGTACATCCATCTATCTATCTATCTATCCATCTATCTATCTATCTATCCATCTATCCATCCATCCATCTCAGTCTGCTCATTATCTATCTATCTATCCATCTATCTATCTATCTATCTATCCATCCATCCATCTATCATCTATCTATCGGTCTGTCTATATCTATCCATCTATCCATCCATCTATCCATCTATCTATCTATCCATCTATCTATCTATCTGTTCATCTCCATCCATCCTATCTATCTATCTATCTATCTATCTATCTATCTATCTATCTATCTATCTATCTATCTATCCTTTCAATATCAGTCTATCTATCTATCTATCTATCTATCTATCTATCTATCTATCTATCTATCTATCTATCTATCTATCTATCTCGGTCTGTTCACATCTATCTATCTCCATCTATCCATCTATCTATCTATCTATCCATCTATCTATCTATCAGTCTGTTCATTCATCTATCTATCTATCTATCTATCTATCTATCTCGATCTGTTCATATCTATCTATCTATCTATCTATCTATCTATCTATCTATCTATCTATCTATCTATCTATCTATCTATCTCTGTTCATATCTATCTATCTATCTATCTATCTATCTATCTATCTATCTATCTATCTATCTATCTATCACAGTTTTTCATTATCTATCTATCTATCTATCTATCTATCTATCTATCACAGTCTTTTCATTATCTATCTATGTATGGACATCGTGTTTATCTATCTATCGATCGATAGATCGATCAATTCGTGTTTATCTATCTATCTATCTATCTATCTATCTATCTATACGATCATATGAATATATACGTCTCGAACGTAGAGTCTTTCTTTCTCTCTCACTCTCACACACTTCCACGCCTAAAATATGGACAAGTGCTCATATACATTTTAATCTATTAACAAATATAAAGCCTATTAATGACGCTACTTTGACATTCCTATTTACATATGATACTCATGCCACCCTTGCACATTAACTCAATAATTCACACACTAATATTTTGTATGTCTATATTCACGCACAATCCTGAATACGCATTCACTTACAGCCATGCATACCATCAACCATGTTCGACTTTCGACCAGAATTAAATAAAATTAAATAAAGTCGATCGCCCTAAGACTTTGCCAATTCAAGAGCGTTTAATTGCAGACCTTCACAGTGACTTACACTGGGAAAGAGCAAAACGTTGTCATTGTTCGTAAAATCGCCAGGCTTCAGAAAAGGTGAATATCTTTTCATATTTCTTCTATTTTTCTTATTTCTTGCTTTAAAAAAATTTCTCCCGCGTATTTAAATGCGCTAAAGTCAAATTGAAAAGCCCTTCATTAAACAGACGACAGCACTTTCAGTACCACGAGAGGGCAGCGGGCATTCGACTTTCTTTCTTTTATCAGTTTTATATTTTTCTTTCTTTTTTTTTCTCTTCATATTTCAAAATTTCAATGTTTATTAACCCTTTCAAGGATTTCCTTTCTTTTTCATTTTTCATATTTCTTTTTTTTTTTTTTTTTATTAATTCCATTTCTTGTACTTTTAAAAACAGCTTTTCTCTTGGAAATTGAATTTCTACATTTATGTGTCACACGCTTTTCCTTTCGAATTTTTTTTTTTCGGTTTTGCTTTCTTAAGGGATTTTAATTTTCATTTCATTTTAAATGTCAATTTATGACGCCATCATCGCTGTCTAATATTCTTGATTCACTTGTAGGGTGCCATTGGGTGGGAAAGACTTTTACTTTTCTTTTCCTTAGAACTGCCACTCAGTTGACGATCACCTCATTTCAGAAACACTACTCTTGTCACATTGTATTAGTTAAGCAACATTAAAGGGTTCATTACTTAAACAGGTAGCTAAGTGAATTCTGTAAATTTAAGAAACTTTGTTTCATGTAACATAACTTATTAACGAGATATGGCGAAATAGTAATGTTGAACGAGTTTTCCACCTCTGATGGAAAATAAATAAATAAACAATTCATAATAAATATATCTTTAAATAAACGAGAAAAAAATTGAAAGGAAACGAATTTTTTTCAATGACTCTCCCTAGACGATCATAACTTTCTACTGCTTCCTTTTATTTACAAATGGCGGCATCTATCAGAGAGATGAAATTTGAATTTTTATTATTGCATTATTCCAAAATTTTAACACATCAGCAGATAGCTATTAATATCAACAAGTGAGCACAAAAAGTTATTAATTTAAACAAAATTAGTAATTAATGTATAATATTTCCATAACTACATATACAAGAATATAGTTTTGATAAAAGGTTTTAAAAAACCCTAAATACGTAATTAATGCATATATTGTCGAAATTTCCCTTTTCAACAATATAAATGTGCTGTGTTATAATATTTATTACGTAAACAATAATAATACTGAATAAATTTAATACATCATAATTATTATAAAACTCAGGTTGTGTGTGTGTGTGTGTGTGTCTGTTGGTTTATATATTGGATCGGATTTCCGACATTTTTCAACCGATTTCAACAAAACTTCACAGGACTACGTAAAATTACATTGTGGTGGTTCTGACAGCACCAAAAAAAAAAAAAAAAATGGAAAAACACAATTGTTTTTGCACGAAATCAATTTGAAAACACGATTAAGAGGAATCACGAGAATGAAAGGGGGACAACTCATATCGAGTTATACTTATTATAAAACCCAGGTTGGTTGTGTGTGTGTTCGTTTATATATGGGATCGAATTTCCTACTTTTTCAACCGATTTCAACAAAACTTCACTTTTTTTTGGCAGGTAGTGTTTCTTATTGTCTTGCACACTTTTTTCTTTATTTTTACATTCAGAATGCTTTAAAAATTCTATTTACAAGACAATTGTTTATAATAAAATTCTATTCAATCGGTAGACTCATAACGATTGAAAACAATGTTTTTGTTTGGGTTTGACCAATTCGTGAAAAAAAATAATAATAAAAACCAATTAAGACATGCGTGTCCGTCAACCTTAAACAATAATCTTTGTCAATTTTATTTTTCAGTCTTTATGATGGTCGATACTTGATCTATCTCTTACTGTTACATCCCCGGACAACGCTAGTATATATATATATATATATATATATATATATATATATATATATATATATATATAATCACATCTCTCTAATAGCTGTCGTGATCTGTTAATATTCGTAAATTGTAATATCTTCTTGAGCAAGATAATAGAGTACTTTCCTGTTGTTTTCTCAACGGTTTGGTATTCAATTTTTCCTTCCCTTAAATTGGTTGCCGTTTAGTTTATATTCCTTTGTCCCAAGTCGAGTTAAGTCTGTATTATGTTTGAATAGAGGTTAAGGTAAATACTGATTAACATAGTCAGTTATGTGCCATGCGT